GTGTTTGGCCTCCGTCGTTGAGGATGGCGTTCTCGCCCCAGCGCGGGCCTCTTTCTCGCGCGCCCATCCGCCCGCCACCACCGCGCCGCACCACCACCACCACCACACCACCACTACCACCACCAACCACCACCCCACCACACCACCACCACCACCACCACCACCACCCATACTACTACTACTACTACTACTACTACTACTACTACACTACTACTACTACTACTACTACTACTACTACTACTACTACTCCTTCTCCTCCTCCTCCTCCTCCCCCTCCTCCTCCTCCTCCTCCTCCGCCTCCTCCTCCTACTCCTCCTTCTCCTCCACTCCTCCCCCTCCTTCTCCTCCTCCCCCTCCCCTCCTCCTCCTCCCCCTCCTCCTCCTCCTCCTCCTCCTCCTCCTCCTCCTCCTCCTCCTCCTCCGTAGCCATTTTGGCTCAAGAGCTCTGCACACTGGGGGCTCCGCGCCTCCGTGCAAAAACGGGATCGCTCTGCTTCCCGAGCATGGCAAGGCTCGCTTGCGGCCTGGCATTCTTTCTTCACTGCAGTCACGGCCTCCCTGCACAGAGGCCAGTGGCCCAGAGTCCTGCGCGCGCCATGGCTCCTCGTCGTGCTGCTGCTGATGAACCTTGGATATGCAAGTCGTGTGTCCATTCAGTCACTGGCAAGCCGTGGTTCAATGCGGGGGGGGCGATGTACTGCAAGCAGTGTCTACTCCACAAGGCGGTGGTGTTCAAGGAGTACAAGCGAGGCAAAACCCCCAGCGTCCATGCTGCGGGCACCAAGGGCTCTGGCTCAGTCGACAAAGGCCTCGCTGCTCGTTGCGCACAGCTCGAAGAACAAATCAAGCGGCTCACCTCGGAGAAGGCCGAGCCCACGCCACCGCCACCATGGGCGCAATCACAGCCGAATGGTGCGGAAGACAAGCGCAAGCGCATCAAGGAACTGGACGGCATCATCCGCGTGCTCTCGCCTGATAAGGACGCGACGGTGCTGGCCACTTTCAAGAACGAGAAGGAGACCTTGGAGCGGGAGCTGTTCGACGGGCGCCCGATCGAGGACCAAGCTCGGTCTTTGGCGGCAAAGCTCCAACATGCGAGGTCCCAGGGGTCTAGCGTGCGCAAGGCGGTCGAAGAGCAGAGGGCCACGATCCAGGAGCTGCAGGGGCACTTGGACAAGGCCGAGACAAAGCTCGTGGAGGCCTCCGCCGAGGTGGTCAGGCTCGAGGAGGAGACGCGCAAGGCCATGTCCCAGGCGCGCCCGCCCGAGCAGCAGCGGCCGCCCACGCTCCACGAAATGCTCCCTGGGTTCGCCGTGTCGGTTGAGCAGCTGGGGCGCGTCGCCAGCACTCTGGGCTTGGGGCCTGATCTTACTGCTGGGCTGCAAGCTATGGCGGAGACGGTCACCAAGTTGCAGCAGGCGCCGCAGGCAAAGCCGCCCCCGCCTCAGACTGCAGAACCACCTGCACAAGAGCCTGATCAAGCCGAACCTCCTGACATTAAGATGGAGGAGGCAGACGTGCGGGCGACGCTCAACGCGGCAGGTATCCCCACGGACGAAAGTGTCTCTGCCGAGGTGGTCACGGAACGGTTCAAGCGGTTCCAGACGACGTACATCGAGGCGTGCAAGAGGGCTCGCAATCAATAGCTTCGTCACCTTTGGGCTCTGTATCTTACTCAGTTCAGCGGCAATGATGGCAAGCAATGACGGGTCCCTTCGAAGCGGGGTATCAGCTTCATCTGCAACTTCTCCGAGGACTACGACGTCGGCGGCGCGTGCTACAACGTGCGCAAGCGTCTCTTGGGAAGATTCTGATGTTATTGGCACGAGTTGGCTACCCTCAGGGAGGCCCACTCGGCTTGCCGAGCAGAGGCCTGGGGCGGAACCCCGTGCACCGTGCACGTCACAGGGTGCGGCGTCTTCTGCGGCATCGGCAAGCGTCTCTTGGGATGAGAATGCTATTGGCACGTGTTGGCTACCCTCAGCACCGCTCACTCGGCTTGCCGAGCAGAGCGCTGAGGTGGAACCCCGTGCATCGCGTACCTCGCAGAGTGCGGCTTCTGCTTCACAGATGGGGTGTGCTTCTTCGGCGCTCTCGGCTCCAGGAGGTACGCATTGCTCACCGTCCGTCGTCGGCGGGCAAGCAGCATTGAGGACAACTGAGGGCGGAGAGTACCGACCGTTGGAGGCCCCAGGCCCCCACGGCACGCACCACTCACCCTCTTCGCCTCGCTGCGAGCCTGCTGCGACATTGGACGGCAGAGGGTGCCGACCTGCTGGAGCCACGGTGGGATCAAACATGGACGGTGAGTACGACCCGTTCGAGTTACTTGATGCCGAGCGGGAGGCCGACGACCTCGTTTCCACTTTTTGCCCGAGCCTCTCGAAAATACGTGAATCAGGACGCGATGAAGCAGCAGGCGCAGCTTCGTCATTTCCCTCTGCCCCCGCTGATGAACATTTTGATCTCGGGCGCGGTAGCGCGAGCGTCGGGTCTGATATATCTAAGCCGGGTGAGTTGGAGGGCAAATCTTTTCCACCTGCCATCGCAGGCACAATTTTATCGGTGAATGCGAGCTCTTTCGGTCCGCTGTTCGACTTTCTGGCCGTGGTGAAGGCAAAGATCATTTGCGCGCAGGAGACGAGGATCGTGGAGTCACGCCTCGGGGAGTTCCAGCACCGCGCCAAGGACCTCGGCTTCCACGGCATGTGGGCACCAGCCTTGGCGACCAACGCCAAGGGCCCGCAGGCCAACCACTGTGGGGTTGCAATCCTGGTGCCCACGAATGTGATGATCACGAAGCCTCCCGACGGCGACCCCATTGTTTATCCAGGCAGAGTGGTGGCCAGCTTTGTCAATTGGGGAGTCCCTGGTGGTGTGATTGTGGTCAGTGCATACTTGGTGACAAGCATCGGCCTGACAGGTGAGAATATGTCCATACTTTGGGCCATCGCTCAGAGAGTGGCTTCTTGGAGTGCTGCGGGATTTGACTGGATCTTAGCTGGTGACTGGAACTCTGATATAGCAGCTCTGAATGCGAGGAGGTGGATTGAGTCGCTGGCTGGGCTGTCTTACACTCCACCGTCGGCCACGTGCTGCAAGGAGGACGGCAACTCGACGATTGACTATTTCATTGCGTGTGCAAATTTGTCGTCACGGCTCGGTACAGCAGCGGTGGTGGACATGTGCGGCACCATAC